AACATAGTTGCAAATTGACTTTCACTAACCTTGGCCAAACTTAGACCCCCTGAAATCAGTGTTAACTGTTTTCAGCTTCTCTCCAATTTGGATTGGTGGTTTGGTGGTTTAGGAGGGCTTGCCCATCCGTCCACAAGAACCCGTGGTTCAAATTCCCAGTTCCCACGAATCCAAACCGGCAAGTAAGGGTTGCCTGATGTTTGCTGGCCAAAAGTTGACAACTCACGTGCCATCGAGTCAACCCGCCACAAGACGTCCTAAGTTTTTGTTGCTTGCCACTCAAACTGTCTTCCCAAAAAGTTTAAGGTTTTGAAGTCCATGAACTCTGGAAGTGAGACAGGGTAAGCCCTGGCAAAAACACAAAGGAAAAAAGGTTCATCATGTGAGCGTCCTGTGGACCCACCGTGGAACCTGACCTTTCGGGGTCCAAAGCGAACTTTTCCTTTTCACGTTGACCCGGTCAGGTGCCCTAGTAGTGGGCAGGAGTTGAGTTTGGCGGTGTCAACAACACGAATCGCATAGATTCTATACAGAGGATGGACGAAATGCCTTCCCACTCCTTTGAAACCATGCTGAAACCATTGTGCGTTGGCATTTAGAGGGGAGTCGAATAATTCCGTTGGGCTTCTGAACGGTGCGAAATGGGTGTTGTCCATCCTTCTGGAATTTGGGAACCTCTCTTGTGGTACCCGCTGGCAATCAATAACTTGAATGCCGGCAAACAATAGTTTGAATGTCGGGCACTTTCAAACAACAAGTAGTCATGATAGGGGTATATGGGCGTTCCTCAAATTTGGGATCGCTACAAGTGGTCTTGGCCCAATGTACTACAGCCTCCCCAGAACGCGCAATGGCTCATTCATCGATCATTGTATACGTTCGCACGTCAGGCAAAAAAATGTCGCCACTCGGCCGGCACATTGGCGAGCTGCGAATGACGTGCCCGCTGGCTGCCCTCGCTTGTGACAAGAAAAGCTTCTTAGGCTTTTTCGCTGTGGAAAGATAGCAGAACTCAACTGAAATCAAGGCCATCTATGTTCAACCAAGCTGTTTTACACAGGGCAGCTGTGATTCCTGTAATGCACCCAATACCTACGGATCAGAAGCAAACGAACCTGACATCCCACAGGAGAAAAGGCGACCGACTCAAAAGTCCGGCAGTCTGCTGGCGGGGCATGGGGAACCCAAACTTCACCTCTCGCACGAAATTGCACCAAAAACTGGCAGACCCACGTGCTGGTCCCCATGTCCTTTGGAATCACCCGCGGCTTCCGTGGAGCAAACAGGCAGAGCCGCCGAGCTGAATGCAATTCAATTGCTGAAGGACCTGAAGAACCCGAAGTTCAAAGACAAGGTGCAGGAGTTGGAGGTCGAAAGCCTCGAAACCAGTCTTCTGTCAGCTTCCCTCTGGTGGCGTGGGTTAGTGCCTTGGAGGTGGGGGGGGTTTCAAAGTTACCCTCTACAAAAGCCAGCAACCCAAACTACCAACTAAGGGTTCCCTGATTCTGGGACACTGCCACCTTGACAAACTGGCGACAAGCGCTGCGGGTCTGGAAAACATGGCACAGATCCGTGCTAAGACTTGTCCCTTTCCCAATACTTCCAGCCACCGAAGGAGCCAGGTAAAACCATGGACCAACCAAAATAGAAAGCATGCTCCAATCGGCTTTGGGCTGGAATTCGCATATTCAAGTTTGCCAAAGCTGTGAGGACTGAGTCACTAAGATATGGAAGCGAACATGGCCAACCGACCTATGGCCTCCCAGTAGAGAGGTTAGAATAAGTTGGTACCCGATTTTTGTCTGTAGTCGATTTTATTATGTAGTCTATTTTAGTAGGGTTCGGAACCCTCCCCCCCAAAAAGGGGTAAAGGGCACCAATTGCTGGAGAACCTAGGATCATACATTCTGCCTTGGGGAAGGCCCTTTTTTTAAACCTTGCAGAGTGTTTTTTGAACCTTGACACTTTAAACAAACTACAAGGTACAAAAGGTGCCCTTCTGCCAAGGCCTCTCTTCCGCAATGCAACAATAAGCAAAACTCAGGCTATGTGTGCACTTTGGCCTTTGTGATTTGCAGTTGGTGGTTGTGAGTCGTGCTGTGTGTTGTGTGTGTTGTGTGTGTTGTGTGTGTTGTGTGTGTTGTGGGCTGTGCGCAGCACTTTGTGTGTTTGTTTTTGCGTCTGTGTGTCTGTGTCCGTGTTGCTGTCTGCGAGATTCGTTTTTGAGTGCGGGTGGCATGCGGTTGTGGCTTGTGCTGTGTGTTGTGTTATGTGTTCAATGTTGTGTGAGTGTGAGTGTGTGTGTGTGTGTGTGGGGTGTGTGTGTGTGTGTGTCGTGTGAGTGTTGCGCATTGTGAGGTTTGTGATGTGTGTTTGGAGTGCTGCATTTTGTGCGATAAGTTGTGTGCGTTGCTCGTTGCGTGCTGTTTTGTCGTGAGCTGTGTTTTGTGCTGTGTGTGTGTGTGCGTGTTAAATTGTGTGAGTGCGTGGTGTTTTGTGCGTTGTGTGTTGTGCGTTGTGCGTTGTGCGCTGTGCGTTGTGCGTTGTGCGCTGTGCGCTGTGCGTTGTGCCTTGTGCGTTGTGCGTTGTGCGTTGTGCGTTGTGTGTGTGTGTCTATGTGTGTGTGTGTGTGTCGATGTGTGCGTGTGTGTCTATGTGTGTGGTGTGTGTGTTCTGTCTTGCCTGCGTGCGTGCGTACGTGTGTGTGTGTGTGTACTTGCAGTGTTGCTTGTTTTTGTTGCATGTTGCAAGTTGGGTGCTGCGTGTTACGTGTTGCGTGTTGCGTGTGTGGTCATGTTGGCTGGGCAGGAGCATGGAAAATGTTCAACTGTTCCGGGATGTTCCGGGCACAACCCCCCCAAACCAAAAACGCCAATCCAGGATTAATAAGCATTAATATGGGGGGTGTCCCTGGTTTTGGGTTCAGCCCGCGTCTAGAGCAGAGCACCCCCCTACCGTGGGTGGTTGCGAAATCCATTTCGCACCACTTTGAAACCAGAACAAACCATTGTTTGTTGGCATTTACGTTGGGGAAGCATCACCCCAGGGTTTTTTAGGTGGTGCCTAAAAGGATATCGTCCACCCTCTGCATGGGACTCATGACTCAACAGCAGTCCCTGACCCCGCCTCACTGGAACCACCCTTCAAAGAGCCTTAACCACTCCGAGAAAAAGAAGAAAAAAAGGAAATCCATGAATCAATCGTTTGAAAAGGATGGTGTGCAAAACAAGCCGTGCCGTCCTGAAAAAGGCCCTCCCGGCCACTTCCATGCTTGTTGGAGGAAAAAAGGCACCCTCCCCAAGCACCGATCCTACGGCCAAAGCCCGGAGACCATTTCCTTTGGCTCCGCCGCTCCTAAAGCGCGGGTGCTCGCTCACGACACGTCCCGCGGCCTCAGCTCAAGGCCGGTGATTTCGGGGCTTTGGGGTCCGGGCATCTCGAACCCCAGTTTGGCGCGTCACCCTAGTCAAACGTTTTTTGGACTTGGTACCCCTTGGTCTGTTTTACAAGAAGGCCGAAACCCACCCAAGAATAGGGGTCCAACCTTAAAAAAAGAGACTCGCCACCCATTGAAAGGAACGAAGGCGGAGGGGTTCCTCCCAGAGATTCCTCATGTGTCTTCTTGAAACCTGGATCACCAGGAAAGAGGTGCCGCAGCTCACCAGTGCCAAGCCACTGGGTGGAAACTCCAGGGTGGTTGTTTCGCTTCTCCTTGCGAGCACATGTTGCACACGTGTTCGGCGATGGTCAACTTGTGGCGATCGGGATCGCCACGGCCGCAACTGTGGCGCGTCAGTCCTCGGGGCTCTCGGCCGCAAAGGGGGCACAGTGGCGCAGGCATGAGCAAGGCGAAATTGCGTGAGTTCGACCCCGGAATTGCCGATGCCGATTTGCTTCTGGGGTATAGTTCTTTGGCTCGAGATGCGTGTGACCGTTTGTATGGGTCGCCCCGGCCATGCAAAAAACCTGGACGAGGCGAGCGGACGGCGGGACGGCGCAAGCGGTTTGACCGCTCTCAGCATCCTTGCCATGAGCAAATCACAGCTGCTTCTCTCAGATGCCCAGTGGCCATGGGAACACAAGGGCATCCTTTGGTTGGTTGATTTTCACGAAATCCGGATGCATGAAAAACACCTGAACAGTGCAACTTGTAAGTGGTGGTTTCCCTTTGTTGTGGTGTTGAAAAAGCAACATGGTTCAAATGTATCTTCCAAGGAGCCCTGTTTCAAGGGAACCATTCCCAAAAAAAATGTAACAAGGGCGCCGCTGGGCAACTGGGTTCCATTGAGTCCGGCCGCAAGCTCCCCGAAAGCCGCGTGACCACATGCTCCGTGGGCTGTCTGTGCGAAGCACCGTGCAGACTTTTCTGCCTGCATTCGACTTCTCGGAGTTGAGCTTCCCTCAAATTGGTCGTTCGGATTCGGTTGGAGGTAAGGGGCCGTTTTTTTGTTGGTTGTTGTTGTTTTGTTTGTTTTCCTTGTTTTGTTTCTTGTTTTTTGCCCAAAAGAGAGCACCGGAAAGATCAGATGATCAAGTGCCCATCCAAACCACCGATGTGGGCCTGATCAAATGCCATGCGCAGCGCTTTGGCTGCAACAAGGCAACAAGTTGCATTGGCAATCGGCAGAGCGTTTGCCTGCCACCTACCTAAATCGAATTCCATGCTGGGCCGTCCGTTTTCAGATCCCCCGCTAAAAGTCTAACTGGAAATCCAACCACTAAACACTAAACAGCTAAAAAGCTAAGGGCATGACTGGGAATCACCAAGTATGGTGGTCAAAAACTCCCTGTGGAGTTCAAGGCTCATGGTAACGCCTGGAACCTGATACCCAGTGGTGGTTTCCCAAGCAGCATCATTTTCCATCAAGAAGGTCTATTCATAGCAAATGGGCCAGTTCCGGAAACCACCATTTGCTTCCATTTGCTGAAATGAAGAACATTGATTTCCCTTTTTGGTTTTGAAGGGAATCGATTTCACTGGGGAATCCATGTGTTGAATTTGTCGTTTCAGGTTCCCGCTCGACCGGTTCGGCCTGGGGTTTGGGAAAAAAAAGCCCCAGGTCACCACTGGGGCGACTTGGGGTGCCTTGACCCTCCGCAAAGCCGCCGCCAAGCACGGGCTCGAACCTGCTGAGGTGGGGGAGGTGTTTTTTTTTGAAGGAAGAGGCTGCCCCAACCTTGCGCCACTTTTAAGGGGCGTTTTGGGCCCGTTTCGGGCCGAAAGCCAGGAACACACATATCAAAAGGTCGGGCACGATCCTGAGTTGGCCACGGAGAGCTGCCTGAAGCTTTGCTCCAGGAGCCTCCCCTTCGGCTTCACGCGAAGACGAGCTAGGCCTCAAGCGAGAGTTGCGGCTTGGCATCGCCCCGAATCCCCAGAAGACCTCCGAGACCTCCGATCAGACCTCAAGCTCCCGCTCCCTTCCTGCCCAGGCCGGCTCGGGAAAAAGAGATCGAGCACACGATTCCTCTCTCCCAGCAAGCCCCACGATTCCTCTCTCCAGAAAAAAGCTCAGCCACTCAAGCACAGCAACCGGTCTGGGCTTTGGATTTATGTTCCATCCGCCCAAGTTTGGAAGAAAAAAACCCACGGGTCTGGGCAATGGAGAAAAAGAGGCACGGGCAAAGTTTGCAAAAAAAAAGCCAAGGCCCAACCGAAAGGCCAACCGAGCGGCCTGGAAGTAGTTCATGGAACAAAACCCCCGGCCGCCCCGTCCATACATTTGCCCATTTGAAAGGTGGGGAGACGGATCAAACTTGGAAGAGGCCAACGCAGGAAGACAAAAGGCCCATCCATTCGTCATGGGGCGTTTTGTTGAGCTCGCCCACGGCGTTTTGCCACCTTGCGGGGCGAAAGAGGGCTTGAAGCAGACTTTGTGGTGCCCTTGTAGGCAAAATGAGAAGCTGAAAATTACTGCGCTGCATTTACCACACGGCTTCTGACATGGGTGTGGATGCCTTCCAAAGTCGGGCGCGCGTTAGATTAGATTTCTCAACCAACCGGGGGCAGGGGGGTGAGGCAATTTTCGCACTCTCTGATCAAGCAGGGCTTCTCATGTGCATTGCCTCCGTAAAACACGCCAACTCGACTCATGTACACATCTTCACGGAGTCCTTGCCGCCGTTCTGAAAAATTTGGGCACCCGGAAAACCCTACTAGGTCCTCCAATGTAGAGGTTAGAATAAGGGTACCCTTTTTTTCCGTAGTCTATTTTAGTAGGGGGGGTTCCTCCCAACCAAAAAAGTTGGTGAGAAAGGGCACCTAGCTGGGGGATCCAGCCTAGGAAACGCCAGGCCGAGGAGCCCGGCGAGCGAGGCGCCAGAGCACGTTCATAGGGCGATCCTGCGGCAGGGAACCAAAGAAAACATGGGGTGTGGTCCGAAAGCAACAGCAAAGCTTCGGTTGACGAGAGCTTGTAAGTCTTGCTCATTTGTAGGCAGTGTCAGGTGCCCCGGGCGCATTTGTGTCAAGGCAAGCGGAGAATCGGCTCCCACCCAACGCATGGAGTCGCGTGTGCCTGCCATCTTGATGTGAGTATCAAGGAAAGCCGTTGGGGGGTGCGAAGCTTGGCGTAGGCAAAAAAGCAAAGACGAAATCCGACCCAAATCTCTTCGGGAGGTCTTGCTCATCTAAAATCTGGCTCCGAGCCCACGAATTGAGTCGTCACCCGAATCTTGACACCAGGCTACCGCAAGGTAGTTCAGGTTTTGGACATTTTCTCGAATTCGGCAAGTTGACATCGCAAGTCCTGCACATTTGCTCTCGGAAGGGGGCTCTATCTCCCCTTGGGCAATGTGCTTTTGGCAGCACAGTTGGATAGCGGGCCCCAGCTCCCTTCCGCGGCTCTCTTCCAACCACTCTCGGGTGAAATAAGACCAACATCCCAGAGAGCCGTAGGCTGCCGTAGGCTGACCTTAGGTGTTCGTTTGATCTCTCGAAGCCAAGTCACGCCACAGAACAGCTGTCCCGAGATGTTTCCCCTTCAATTTAACATAGCGGACGGACACTGACTTTGAGTTGGCAATCAAAAGATGGTCTTAACAACCGCCGCAAGGTGTTTTATCCTTCTCATATGGGCATGTGACTTTCTTTGACACTTTTCAGTCTGGTTTGAAGGGAAACCTTTAAAGGACAACCCGCATTTGGGGGGCGTTCCCCCTTGGAGACATACCCTTCCTCCCGCCATCATAGCACCTGGCGCGTACCTGGAAGACAACATGTCCTTTTGAAGGGACCAGTCCCTCGCTCCGAGGGGTCGGGAATGGGTTCCCAAGTCAAATCCAAACCATCGAGGCTTACCTCGCCAAGTGCCATGTTGCGACCTGTGGAACTAAACCTTTATCTGCGCTATAAGCTACATATACCAGATGTGGCTGGCGATCTTTGGGATCCCAAACCCCCCCCCCAAAAAAAAAAAATGAGGCTTTCCATAGGCATCTGTTTCATCTTAAACTTTGCCTTCTTGGGGGCGGTCGTACCCGCCGCCTGGGGCCAAAAGCCCCAGAAACCACCAGAAAAAGCCCCCCCTCCCGGCGAATTCGCCCGAATGATCGCCGCTGAGTCCTGGAGGACTTCTTTGGGGCAGGCGCAACCTCCACGACGCCTGGAGGTGTGGGTCGACGTCTGGGGCCTAGGCCTCGGAGGGGGGGGGGCTGTGGGGCTATCGAACGCCCAGATTTAGGCAAGGAGAAGCCCTTAAAACCTTAAGGGGTTAATAAGTGATAGCCCCTCATAGCCCCCCTTTGGGAGCCCATGAACTTGTTACGCCAAAAACCGGATGTGGATGGTTGCGAAATATCATGTCGCTCCACGAAAAAGAAAACATGGCTGAAGCCATTGTTTTTTTTGTTGTTGTTTTGTTTTTTTGGGGGGGGTTATCGAATCACAAATAACCATGGTTTCTTAGGTGGTGCGAAAGGGATTTCGTCCATCCACGGCCCTGGTAAATGGAATAAAGCCACAATCTAAGCCAGTGTAACCCATCTACTTCTGGTAAAACCAACGGCTCGGGGTTGGACAACTACGCAGGCACATTTGGATACCAGGCCCTCGCTCCCCTTCGCAGCCCCTTCCACCAGCTAGAAAAGCCCAACACACAACCAGAATGGGACCGACTCGCGCCGATGCCCCACCGCTTTTAAGGTAGCTCCTTGCCTTCACAACCACCAAGCTGGAGCAAGCTTGAAAACCAATGCTCACAGGTTGGTCTTGGACAACAACGGCCAAGAGCTCACATACTAAGCCAATCCAAACATGGAAAAGCCGCTAGCTTGTCTCCCCGTAGTTGGGCCTGCCTCAGTCAAGGAGCCCATTTGTTGCTAGAAATTGGGATGCGGATTGCTCAAATTATTGGTGGATTGGGTGGTTCAAGCCCTCTGCTTGCTTGCAAGCTGTAACCTTAGCTTCGGGGAGCCAAAAAAAAAGCACGGGACCAACCCTGACTCGCATGCTCCTCATTGAAAAGTCAGCATCAAGCGCTCGGCGTTTACGCCGGATTTCTCGTTCAAAAGTTGATCCATTGAAACGATCGCTACTTTTTAGAGGTTCCCGAAACTCAGTTGCCCCTTAGGGACCTAAAAATAAAAGGTGATCGCCTTCTGGTGCCATGACCAAAAACAGACCAGCACGAGAAAACCAAAAGGTCAGATCCGGTCGATTCGCTTCGGGCAACCTCTATTTGCTTAAGTCCCTTGGATAAACCTATTTCCACTAGTGATACATCCCCTTTAAAACCAACGGGGGGAAACAAACGCATATTCATTTCAGCAAATATTCGCTTTGGGCCACCTCTATTTGCTTCACTAGTGATAGATTCCCCCTGAAAACAAAACACATATTCATTTGGCTGTGGGTCAAAAATAGGAACCCAAAATGGCTTGCCCTGGTACAAGGAACCAAGGACTAAAACCTGCGGTCCGATTCCTGGCGGTGAACAATTTTGACCCGTACCCATTTCAGCAAATGATTTGCTGAAGTCCCTTGGAAAGACTAAACCTATTTCCACTCGTGATATATCCCCATTAAAACCAACGGGGGAAAAAGGGGGGAAAATCAACGCATATTCATTTCAGCAAATGGCAGGCCAGGGAGGAGAAAAAAAAAAACCTCGCCTCGGCAGAGTTGATTCCTCCGCACGTGGTCCGCCAGGCGCACGACACCTGACTGGCTGCCCCGCCCCGTGGCCATGTGGACAATCCTGGGAGTGAATTTCACGGGTCTGGTACAAACAGGTCCCTGATCACATGGCATGGCAAAACCAAGCGAAAAAAAAACAGATCATCTTAGATAAAGGGGTATTGTACGTCACGAAAGTGGTTAGTACGTCTGGTGAAATAACCAAGAGCCATGTCATATGTCTCCATTCAGTGGGTTGTTTCCACCAGGCCTATATACTAACTACTACCTAAGTACCCTGTCCCTTTAAGCCGTGGCCACTGAACAAAAAAATAACTCGTTGCAAGGTGGCTGGCGAGACCCCCTCTGCAAAAGTGTTTTGAACTTTTTGTGGGCCCAATTCGGAAAATCCGGCTCCTGTTTCAAGCAAAACGTGTTTTAGTCCAAAGCTCCGTTACCAAATTGCCGTACAGCTTGGGTGCTTGACTTTAAAGTGGGCAACTCCAAACAAAAGTCGTGGCCTTTTTGGCCTCGCAACGGGAATTGGAACGTGGCCTGCAAGCAGGGGAAACAAGGGAAATATTCCCCCACGGCGCCGACAGAAGCGGAAGAGCCGGCTCCACTTTTCAGGGCCCCACTTGCCATCAGTTGCCATCAACCCAGGGACCCAGAAATACCAGGTGATCGATCACCTGGGGCCAAGGCGAACAACCAATTTGCCAAATCAATGAACACCAAGAGGGTAGAGGGTCGATACGCTTTGGGCAAGGGAGTTGTAGAAGACAGTAAAACAATCGGCCAACTTGCACATCGCCAGGGGGGGTGGGGGGGTGGGGGGAGTTCTTGACACCTGCCATCGGCTGTCTTGGGGACCTGCCCGGCCCTTTCGGCGCGAGTTGAGGCAGCCACCCACGTACTGCCTCAGAGAGAAAAGTGGTCAGCGACAAAAGGCCGTCAGTCGCGCGCCGTCAGAATCACTGGTTCCAATGTCCAAGGGGCAAGGGGTCTTGCTGCCCATGTCGCTCCCAAAATGAATACACAAGTCAGAATCATGGTTTTGCCGCCGCCTTCCCAGATCCAGCTCCTAACCCGTGACCAAACTCAACTGGGCAACGTGGAAAACTGAAAACTGAAAAGGGAAATGGCAATTGTCCAAATGCGGATGCATTTTTTTAATGGGACCCCCCAAATGGTGGTTTTCCCATCCAAAAAAAGGGCACCAACTCCAAACAAAATACGAGCCACCCAACTGTCTAAGTTCTATCAAGGTCCTCCAGTAGAGAGGTTAGAATGAAGGGTACCAACTTGTTTTCTGCAGTCTATTTTAGTAGGGGGGGTTGCTCCCAGCCAAAAAAGTTGGTGAGAAAGGGCATGTAGCTGGGGGACCTAGCTAAGTTCCACTCTTAAGGTTTGGTCAACGGCTTGCGAGCCGTCGCGCTGCCTTTGGCCAGCGCCTTCCAACTGTTTCGCGTCGCGCGTGAACGAACCGTAGCTTGGTCAACAAAACGAGGGCCGTGTAATTTCCTCCATTTGCTTAAGTCCCCTGGAAAAATTGAAGCAAAAAACCCAGCAGTGATAGTTCCCTTTAAAAAAAATCTTCACCAAATGGAAGTGTTGAATGTCCAAAGATCCCAACAAGTCCTTTTCAAGTCCAAAGATCCAACCAACTAGCCATAAAGGTGCGATATAGTAACCCCTAAGAAACCCTGGAATGGAATGACTCCGCTTAAAAAAAAAAAAAAAAATGTTTTTTCCCATGGATGCAAAGGGGTGCGAGATGGATTTCGCGACCATTCCTGAATAGTTCCTGGATGTCTGAACCTTACCCCGTTCTGCAACTCAAAGGAGGGCAAATCTGCTGCCGAGACTTGCCAAGCTGCGTCTCCTCCACATACCCGCCATTGGATCGTAGTCCGCCTGGCCGCTCGCGAAGGCATCCGGCTTGCGATGGCCCAACATGGAATTCAATGCGCGAGAAACTCGGTGGCCCAAGGGACTCACAAATCAAAGGTGAGCGCCTTTCTGGCCACGGCCCCAAATTTTGGTTGCCACAAGGGCTATGGGTCAAAACCCAAATCGTACCCCCAGTGAACATCAACCAATCCCCACTAAAATAGACTAACATGGGTGGTGCAGCTACCCCAAAATGGTTCCATTGGTGTTGAGCCATGGCCAATTGAGAAAAGCAAAACGTTAAATGGTCGATTCGCTTTGGCGCAGTGAGTACCAGAGTTGGCCATGATGATGTTGCAGAAACGTTGGGATTCCAAAGCCTCATTGCCCACAACGACGATTGCCCAAGAAGCAAATTCACCAATCCGTTCCCCATCAATGCGCAGAATGTACGGGCATGTGTTTTCGTTCAGTATGAAGTCAATCCACTGGGGTAGTGCAGTTCGGCCACTGTCATATCATCATCCAAAAGCTTGCTCACTTCAATTCGGTAGCAGGGTTCCAGTATACACTGTAGCATTTGTGGCTGGCCTTGCAAAACGCGCCCTGCATTGCGCAAGTCAACTAGCAACTAGCACGTCACCCCCAAGGAAAGGACATGTTCTTCATTTTGGCAAACAACAGGTAAGCTTGTTGTTGAAACCGACATCCACTTGGGTGTGCCTTTTTGAGGGTACTCTTTTTCTGTGGGTTTAAAGAAATGCTAAAGGAAAACCTCCCCTGAAAAAAGACACGCGATGGCCGGGTGTTTCCCAACTCCCAACTCTGCCACATGCAAAGCTCCTCAATCTAAGGGCTAGCTTGCATACCCCAGATGGATATACCACTGCGAGCCTGGCAGCACCGCATAGGAACCATCCAGGCTCACTCGGTTCAGCTCCCTGCGAGAAACCATCCGAATTGTTAGTAAGCCTGGCTATGGCCCACAAAAGGTGTGGTTATAAGTCCCCTAAGTGGGTTATAACCAGGCTTACCAACCACTTACCTGACGTACCCTGCCAAGGGGAAGGGGCCGGGGGTCCAGAATCCCAATTCCATTTATCCTGTCAAGGCGAAAATGCATCCGTAAGAGGAATTTCAAGGCTCACCCCCCTCCCCGCAACTGCGTCTTTAACGGGGTGCGGATGTGGCCTATCCAAGTCTTGCTAGGGCTTCATCCACCACTGGCGCAGGATTCTGTCTATCCTGCCTTGTCAACACTTCTGCGCTACGTGCAGGGCCCTCTGATGGAAAAGGAGAAGCCCAGTAGCTGAGTTGGACAAAGTTCAAAGGGCCGGATATAATTCATTCTCATTCCTGCTGTTTCCATTGCAGTAGTGGTAGATTCCTTTTAAAACCAGTAAAACATAGTCTTAAGCAAATGGAAGGTTGTCAAAGTCAGTTCAATATGAAGTTGTACAATTTACTAAGCTTGTCGTGGGCATGGTCAAGGGTGACGGAAGTTTGGGTCTGAACCATTTTGTAGGGGCACGTGTTTTCTGAGTATCAAATTGAATTCCTTGCCATGTCTATTAGCTGCTTGGGCCAGCGTGGACGGCTCGAGAAGATACATTTACGTTGTGATTGTGGGAGAAGTTGTGTTGGCCGGACGCGAGGCCATGACGAAACTTTAGCAGTCCGAAGCGGCGGTGTCCGCCGAGCGAATCAATCTTAGCTCGGTTGCGTTCTGCTCCCCTGCTAAAAGTTTGACTTTTGGTGGTTTAATGGACAACCCATTCGTTGGCAAAAAGTTGTTCAGTCCTAACAGCCAAGCAAAATGCGCCAAAGCAATCTTAGCATCTTGTCTTCTGGTGGCTCTGAAATGCTCTGAAGGGATCGGCACTGGGCCGTCTGATCGAAAATCAAATGTTGCAGGGTTCTTGCAGCTGGAACGCGGCGGAAGGCGTTTTTTTTTTTTTGCGGATCCCAACTTCCATTTGCTTAAGCCCCTGGAAAAACAAAAGCATATGTCAGATGGTGATAGATTCCCTCTCAAACCAAAAAAAGGAACACCGAAATGACATCTTCCTTTCAGCAAATGGAAGCCAAGAACCCAGATCGGTTTCAGCTCGCCGGGCTCTTGCGCGCGAGCCAAGTGCGCGCATCTCCAGGCAGGTGTCTCGATGTGACAACCCTCCCTCTTGATCTCACGTGCCCAGTTCGGACCTGGAAGGAAGTTAGGGCCTGCCTCGAGCAATAACTCCCCTCTAGCCCCAAACAGCCCCGAGTAACCCCCCTCCAGCACTGGTAAAGAATAGAGGCAAGGTCTAAGAAATAATTGGTGATCACCTTTTGGGACCTCTGCTAATAATGGACCAACCAGGGAACACCACAAGGTGAACAGCTCGGCTCTGAACAGCAGAGTCATACTTTGGATGAGGCTGAAAGGCTTTTCTGCAATGAAGCTTTCGTAGCAAGAGAACGCAACGGCTTCCTGCCGTCTGCAGAAAATCGATCCCCGCATTGCCAATTGCAGTTCTTGGATGGCGTGTTCAGCTGTTGAGGATTTTCCTGATCCTCCGCAAAACGCGCGGCCTCTACTTCCATCCCTTTAGCATGCAAAAAAAAGGTCTTTGCAAACTCACGCTAAGAGTCATCTGAACCAAAAGTCAAACAACAAAGACACAACAACTACACTGATTTGAGAGTAGATGGCTCAAACCCAGTTGCAAAAAACAGTAGATGGCACGTCGGGTCGCGGGGTCGTTTATAAATAGTAGATGGCGCTAGTCTTCCTAAAAGCTGGAACGGAGCCATCTACTATTGACAAAAATCATGCGTTTCAAAAACCTGCGCCATCTACTTTTGACAGCCAAGAATTGGTTTGTTTCCTGGTCGTTGAGTCGAAATCCTTTTTTCGGATGTCGAACTGAAAGGTCGTGGCACTCACCCCCCCTTCAAGCATAAAGGGGTGCGGCACAACCTATCGACCCTGTCCTGACTGACCGACGCATTTGGCCTGTCCCCTCCGGCCCGGCAAAATAAAGGTGATGGCGCATTCTTTAAAGTAATGGCATAAGTTGGGCACTGATTGCAAGGGGTTGGTGATGGCAAAGGGGCGATGAAGGGGCTGGTGATGGCAGAGGGGCGATGAAGGGGCTGGTGATGGCAGAGGGGCAGAGCTTAAATTGGGCGCTGTTGAGACAACTAGATGGCTCTGAGCCTTCAGGGGTAGAGCGTAAGTTGGGCGCTGTTGGCAAAAGTAGCTGGCGCAACCTTGCTTGAGCCTTTGACCAGAGCTGAACCAGGGCTGGGGCGATGGGCGCTGTCTAAGAAGATGCAACCCTGCTCCTCTGCCTTCGCCCGGAGCTGGCGCAGCCAGGGGTCGCAAGGGGCTGGTGATGGCAGAGGGGCAAAACGAAGGTTGAGGGGCAGGTTGGCGCTGTTGATAAAAGTAGAGATGGCGCAACGCTCCTGAGTTTTTCGCCGGAGGTGGGGCGTGATGGGCTGGGTGCGGAGGGGCAGAGCGTAAGTTGGGCGCTGTTGACAAAAGTAGATGGCGCAACCCTCCTGAGCCTTCGGCCGGCGCTGGGCGGAGCCGGGGCGATGAGCTGGGTGAGCGCAGGGCTGGTGATGGCAGAGGGGCAGAGCGTAAGTTGGGCGCTGTTGACAAAAGTCGGCCGGCGCTGGGCGGAGCCGGGGCGATGAGCTGGGTGAGCGCACGGCAGGTGATGGAAGAGGGGCAGAGCGTAAGTTGGGCGCTGTTGACAAAAGTAGATGGCGCAGACAAAAGTAGATGGCGCCTCCTGAGCCTTCGGCCGGCGCTGGGCGGAGCCGGGGGAGATGAGCTGGGTGAGCGCAGGGCTGGTGATGGCAGAGGGGCAGAGCGTAAGTTGAGTGCTGTTTGACAAAAGTAGATGGCGCAACCCTCCTGAGCCTTCGGCCGGCGCCGGGTCGATGAGCTGGGTGAGCGCAGGGTTGGTGATGGCAGAGGGGCAGAGCGTAAGTTGGGCGCTATTGACAAAAGTACATGCCGCCTCCTGGGCCTTCGGCCGGCGCTGGGCGGAGCCGGGGCGATGAGCTGGGTGAGCGCAGGGCTGCTGATGGCAGAGGGGCAGAGCGTAAGTTGGGCGCTGTTGACAAAAGTAGATGGCGCCTCCTGAGCCTTCGGCCGGAGCTGGGCCGGAGCCGGGGAGCCGGGGCGATAAAGGGGCTGGTAATGGCAGAGGGGCAGAAGTTGGGCGCTGTTGACAAAAGTAGATGGCGCAACTCTGCTTCTGAGCCTTCGGCCGGAGCTGGGCCAATGGCAGAGGGGCAGAGCGTAAGTTGTGGGCGCTGTTGACAAAAGTAGATAGCGCAACTCTGCTTCTGGGCCTTCGGCCGGAGCTGGGCCGGAGCCGGGGGAGCCGGGGCGATAAAGGGGCTGGTAATGGCAGAGGGGCAGAGCGTAAGTTGGGCGCTGTTGACAAAAGTAGATGGCGCAACTCTGCTTCTGAGCCTTCGGCCGGAGCTGGGCCGGAGCCGGGGGGGCCGGGGCGATAAAGGGGCTGGTAATGGCAGAGGGGCAGAGCGTAAGTTGGGCGCTGTTGGCAAAAGTAGATGGCGCAACTCTGCTTCTGAGCCTTCGACCGGAGCTGGGCCGGAGCCGGGGGAGCCGGGGCGATAAAGGGGCTGGTAATGGCAGAGGGGCAGAGCGTAAGTTGGGTGGTCCCTTCCTGCTCTGGCCCGGCTCGCGCCGAAGCCCTTGCCCGAAAAAATGAGCAACTTTCATGTTGCCGGTACATGTATTTGTTGCAAAGGAAACTATATTTGCCAGTGTACCAAAATTAGTGTTGACAATGCTAAGTTTAATGTTACGGGTACTTGATGTAACATGTATTAGATTTAGCATGCAAACACTAGCTTCAGTACTGCCAATACAAATTTATACAAATGTCTTACTGTTTGTGCCAGGCTTCATACTGTTATCTTTGCGTATGCCCCGCAAAGGCGGTCTACGGAAAGCTGGAAACTTTGAATGTGCACGCGCGTTGCCAAGCGAATCCTCCGAGTACTCACTTTAAACAGCTAGAACCAAATTTAGTATTGCCAGGACTAAACGTAGTATTGTTAGTATCAAATTTAGTTTTGCCAGCACCAACTTTGGTATTGCCCCTAAATTTAGTGTTGCCACCACTTAATTGCATATTCGTACGAGAAAAAAAAGTCCTTGGCCACAGCCACCCAAGCCGGGTGTTCAGAAAACCAAAAAGAGTTGTGCCATCTACTCTGGCCAGAACATTTCCGATAATTTTCCGATAATTGATAATCTCCGTTTGTCAATAGTAGATGGCACTCCCCCCCAATTTTTTGAGCCATCTACTCTCAAATCAGAGTACCCTCCCACCAACAAACACGGAACCTGAAACGGGATCCGTCTAAAAGCAAAATGGTCCAAACCGGGAGCCCTAGAATGAACGTCGAACGGTTCCATGTTGCGCCAAGTGAAACTCAGAGGCCAGCCCTATTTATCGACTCTGTCTATCTTTTAACCACGCTATCTATCTATTTGTCTGCCTACCTATCTATCTATCTATCTATCTATCTATCTACCCGGCCATCAAGGTATCTATCCATCGGCACGGCCCGGCTCCCCCCTTTTTGGCCCCCCAGCGCGGGCGGATAGACGGCGGTCCGCAGCGGGGAGGCGGCCCGGTGCAGCTCGGGCGGCCTGAGGCTCTGTGGATCGACCCAGGCCGCGCCGGGCGGATGAAACTCCAGCCAGGTCCAAACCAGTAGAGAGGTTCGAATAAGTGGTACCAACTTTTTCACTTTTAGTCCATTTTAGTGGGGGGGTACTGTTTCTGTATTTTTGTGGGGGGGGGGGGCGCAGAAGGGTACCAACTTGTTCCCCTTTTTTGCTCATTTTAGTAGGGGGGGTTCCTCCCAACCAAAAGGGTGTTGGTACAAGGGCACTGCTGGGGGACCTAGCCAGGAATGCTGGGAGAAACTGGGCTTCAAAGGATACATCCATTTGCGAATGCGTCCCCAGGAAAAAAATCGCCCGGTAGTGGTAGATTCCCTTTAAAACCAACAGGGGAAATCAAACATATTCTGAAGCAAATGGGAGGATATAACCGATTACACGCGTTGGCATAGGCGTCCTTTTAGAAAAGTAGACGGCTCTGGTAAATCTAAACCAGTGCCTTCTATGTTTTAACTGTCTCTCTATCCGTGTATCTAACTGTCTCTCTATCCGCTCTCTCTCTCTCTCTCTCTCACTCTCTCTGTTCCATCTATCTATCCATCTAGCTACTTTTCTATCAAACTATCGATGAATCTGCCTTTATGTTTATCTATCCACTTTCAAGATTTCTACTGATCGTATCTATCTACCTGACTGTCTCTCGGTCAGTTTATCTATACCTATCTATCTGTCTATTTGTCTTTCACTCTTCCGAATTTCTATCTACATACGTAATCTATCTCTTTATCCACCTGGTCGTCCCACCTATATGTCTATCTAGCTATCCACCTAGCTTGTCTTTCTATTTGCCTATCCCACTTTCAAGACTTCCATCTACCTATCTATCTACGAACTTCACTATCTACCAATGTATCGACTCGATCTATCTTTTAACCACGCTATCTATCTATCTATTTGTCTATCTATCTATCTATCTATCTATCTATCTATCTATCTATCTATCTATCTATCTATCTATCTATCTATCTATCTATCTATCTATCTATCTATCTATCTATCTATCTATCTATCTATCTATCTATCTATCTATCTATCTATCTATCTATCTATCTATCTATCTATCTATCTATCTATCTATCTATCTATCTATCTATCTATCTATCTATCTATCTATCTATCTATCTATCTATCTATCTATCTATCTATCTATCTATCTATCTAGTTGTCTATCTATCTATCTATCTATCTATCTATCTATCTATCTATCTATCTATCTATGTATATCTATCTATCTATCTATCTATCTATCTATCTATCTATCTATCTATCTATCTATCTATCTATCCACCTACCCGCCTATCAAGCTATCTATCTATCGGCACGGTCCGGTTCCTCCCTTTTTGGCCCCCCAGCGCGGGCGGATAGACGGTGGTCCGCAGCGGGGAGGCGGTCCGGTGCAGCTCGGGCGGCCTGAGGCTCTGAGGTAGGCGGATCGGTCCACGCCAGGCAGGTGAAACTCAAGGAATGCTGGGATAAACTTGGCTCCTTGAAGGACAAACCTTCCCACTGACATAGCACCTGACAGAGGGTCGCTGCACCCCTCAAAATGGTGGTTTTCCCTTGTAAAACCACTAAAAAACAGCTGAAACAAAGAAGTTTAGACATATACCACGCGGTGTTTGGGTGTATCCCTGATAACTTTTTGGGCTTCATCCCTCCCAGCTCCTGCAGGACTATGTCCATCCTGCGGATTTTGGGAGAAGATGTCAGATCCGGTTGCCTTTGCACCAAGGCTGGGTGGCCGAATGGGGCCTGAGCTCCAACGAAGGTTTCGGAACAAACACCGCAGAGAGCTGCACGTTTTCAACAGCCTACTCGCGCTTATTCTTCCCTTGTCATCTGTCAGGGAGCTGGCTTTCAACCAGAACTTCCCTCGACTACTCAATGGAAAGCTAGTACTAACTTATACAAAACCAATATGAGCCAATCCTGACGCCCCAAAATGCAAGAATTATTGGTGACACCCTTTCCCAAAAACAGCCGCCCAAACATCTTTTCAAGTTCTTGGGGCAGGGCAGTCGCGAAAAGTAGATAATCATACGAGTATCTGTATCTGATCTGGTTCAAGTGGGACAGAGACAAACAAACACCTCGGGCCAGCACCGGGCAACACTAAACAAAGACTAAACCACTTCACTAGCACGAAGTAATACATGCAAACCCATTACTAACAAATTGTAAAGAGCACTTGGCCAGCTCAAAGGATACTAAAGCAAAAAAACTAAGCCAGTACTAAGCAGAACTTACTGGGAGACTACTTAACTCTGGCACCAATCTGCTTTGCCCCATTTACACCCCCTCCGCCCCCCCCAATTTGGTTGGGGGGGGCTTTGATATTCACCCAACAGTAGCAGCTGCATGCCTTCGTTGATCCAAAGCCCCGGGACGGGAGGGTAGGCAGCCTGCAAGCGGTACTGGCTACCCCTGTTTAACCAACCCCTGTTTATGAATATTGGGGTGTCAACCTGGGTGAAATGTGGGGCAATCAGACCACTTTTGGAGGGCCTCCCGCCCCATCAATAAACTGGTTGGTTGATTAATATATCAACGTTAGCAAGGAACCGCTTTCAGCTAAGTAAGCTTCTGCAAATTGGGGCCTCGGAGAAACGGAAAAAAAAACACCTGTTGAAGCGGTCCATTTGTCGAAGACACATACGGCCGAGCCGAAGCACTCATGAGCTTTTGCGGTTTGGTCCAAAACCTACACAGGCATGACCTGAGCTGACCAAACAACACATGCTTGCACTTCCGACCGCCCTGAGGTGTGACACAAGATCGGCTGATTTCACCGGCCCTTTTTCCCACCCCAACCCACCCCCCCCACCTCGCCACTGCCACGAAGGAGCCTGTCCTCAATGGAGAGCTGGTCCTGGGCGAGGAAACATGGCGGCAGATGGAGCGAGATCCCTCCATTTACCTTTGTGGACTAAGTTCTCCAGAGAGGTTAGAATAAGGGTACCTTTTAGTAGGGGAACCCTCCCCCGAAAAGGGTAAAAGGGCACTACTGGGTGGGGGACCTAGTAGAATCATTCTTCTTACCTCTTCTCCGTCTAGTTTCCCCACGGCCCAAGCAACTGAGGTCCCACCACGAACTTCTCCCATTCTGGGGACAAGCAAAAAAGCATCAACCAACAAACTGGATTTCCAGACAGCAAGAAGCAACTAAACAATAGAGACCATCCCTCGGTTGCTTTCTGCACCCCTGCTAAGAGGAATAACTTTTAGTGGTTTAATACGGAAAGCCCATGAGTTGGCAAAAAAAGTTGTTCAGTCCTAACAGCCCTTAGCAAAATGCGCCAAAGATCCTCCGTTTCCATTTTTTGGAAGCTTCCGGCCCGGATTTTCAGCTTCCCGTCCACCCCAAACCCGCCCCTCCCACCCAAAGTTTCACCTGGAGCCGAACATGACGTTCGGATCGCACCCGGCTCCGGTCAAAAGGAAAATGGTCCAAACTTTGGCACCCCCCGGAACGTCGGGGTTCGGTTCCATGCTAAAAAATTGTGGGAGAGAAACACTCTCTTAAGAAGAAGACCCCAGAATTGATTTTACAACTTCGAAATCTCAAAGGAGACCAAGGATTCTTGGGCGAGCTTGTCTTTGAGCACTGGAGACCTAGGTCTTTCTCAGTTGACCTAAAATGGGGTAAATGTGGGTTGAACATCTAGGTCCTCCAGTAGAGAGGTTCGAATTAAGGGTACCAACTTTTATTCTGTAGTCTATTTTGGTAGGCTTCGGAACCCTCCCAACCAAAAGCCCTGGGTTCATTTCTGGACCGAGATGAGAAAACCCAAAGGCGAGTTGGGTCGATCCGCTTGGGGCGCGTGAGCGAGAAAGCGAGGCTCACGGGCCCAAAGTCTGTCGGGGCTCGTCAGTCGCAAGGTGAAGAATCGGGAAAACTTCCATTTGCTTTTGCGCCCCCTGGGAAAAATATATGTCCTGTAGTGATAGATCCCCTGTGAGAAAAAAAAAGAGAGGAAAATAACAGATATTCTTAAGCAAGTTGATGGGAACCTCAAAAGCGGGGCATGAATCCGAAACAGCATCTACCAAGACGAACCCGAATTGAAAATCATGCCCTTGGCTTTTGTCGGATCCGGATTCGCTTTGCGCAAGAGGGTTGGCCTGAACTTCCAGTTGGCATGAGGTAAGTGAAATGAATGCTCATTCTTTTCCCGAAAGGAGAAGGGGAAATTGGCTGTCTCCCTGTTGTTATGTTTCAATATGCGGCCCATGTCAATTTAGCAAAGCGGCAAAAGGGGTACTGTACTTAGTAACTGAATGGAGACTGAAAGAAAGCATGGCTTTTGCGGGTGATTTCACCAGGCTTACGATCACCACTCACCTGACGAACCAGATCGATCGCCCCTTTAAGCACGTCTTCGGGGTCTGGTGGACGTCGTGAGGTTCTCTTCCCAGACCCTCCGACCACCTGCAGAAAGGGCATCTCTTTTGCCTGATTTAAAAGCATTGGGCAGGGGTGGGGTGTGCCCATTCCATTTTTCGAGTCTCCCAATAGGGAGGATAAATGGAACCGCTGCCCCAATTCCATTTGGGCGGGGTTTAAAGCGAGGCTGTCCAAAGTCCAATCAAAAGGAACAAACGGTTTGGATGCATGGATTTCATCTGCTCTTCCCGCTGCTTTTTGCTCGGCCGTCATACTTCGACCGGGCGGATCCGCAGATTCGCCACATCCAAGCCTTTTACAAAAGGAAACCCCGGACACTGGAGGTTGGGGGAGTTGCGGGGCCTTCGTTCCCAAGCCGTACGCGTTCGAAAACCATGGGTCTGCCATTCACACGCGCCTGATCGGCTGACGCGGGCCTAAGAGCGGGACAGGGAGGTGAGGTTTTCAGGTTCCCCGGTCCCAGTTCTTGCCTGATCAATCACAAAAGAAAACGCAGAGCCAGAAAGGGAGAGCTACCCGGTTCTTATGACACGTAGATCATATCTGAAGTTGAGTTTGGGGGCAACGCAGATGCCAAAAACGGCCTCTCTCTTTGAGAATTCGACCTACCTTAAGGGGAAGGGGGGTGGGGGTGTCCCCCCTTCCCCAAAAAAGCGAAAATGGCTCATCACAGATGGAGATTTTCAGGGGTCGAAGTCCCCCTCCCCCAAGTCCATTTTTGAGGGGGTGGGGATGGCCCAGCGGGTGAGAGGCTGGGTTCACGCAACTTGGGGAGGGGCCAGGGGCGGGGTGGGGGGGCCTCCTGTTGGCTTTTCCTTTGAAGTGGCAGGGATAATTTAATAGGAAACTCACTCTTTGAAGGGTCCGAATGAACCCGAAATCAGCATCTCAAGGCGTGTGGCAATCTTCACCTGTAGCTGATCTTGAGCCCGCAGGCCGTGTAAGGCAGGATTTCTAAAAAAAACACGCAAGAGGCAGTTGTGAACCAACAACATGAAAATTGCTTCAAACAGAATAGATGGGTTTCCGAACAGCAAACCTACCGCATTGTTTTTGCCAACTAGAAATTGCAAAAGAGGTGGAGAGTCCAGCCAGAAATGACACTTTTAGCGCCATATTCCGGCGTCAGCATGGTCCCATGGTGTCAATGGAGCTCCGGCTTAGAGGAGAAATGCCCTGCCGGCTTGGGCCAGGGGATTTCGGGACCCAATTCCATGGACCTGGTCCTCTGCGTAATAGAAATGGCTCACCAGAAATGCAGATATCCAGAAATCACCCCTCCCCCAGTTCCATTCCTAAGGGGGTGACCTACTCGTTGAAGTCGAGAAAGCTAACCTCTCCAACCATCTCAGCCAACCCACTGTGAACGCATTGTTCTTCACGTGGCTGTGAATTGTGTAAACTGGGGCTCTTTTAGTGAATATGATGTTGATGGGGAGTTGTGTCCACCGGCCATGTTTGAGGACTACTCTCCGGGCAAATTCGCAGCCAACTGGCCTCGACCAACATGGGTGAACTTTCAAATGACAAAAGTGCGTGCGTTCGCTTTGGTTCCTCCGTTTAAACAACCTGAAAAGGATGGTGCCAACCCAAACCTCCATTTGCTTTTTGTTTGTCCCCTGGGAGGAAGAAAAAAAAAACTATGAGAGAATATGTCCAGCAATTAGTGCAATCGATTCCCTTGAAAAACAACAACACTAGGTCCTCCAGAGGGAGGTTCGAATGGGGGTAATTACCCTTTTTCTGTAGTCTATTTTAGTAGGGGGGCATCCTCCCAAACAAAAAGTTAGAAAGGGCACCTAGCTGGTGGACCTAGAACAGGGGAAAAAAAAAATGCGCCCCCCCCCCCCCCCCCGACTAACATGGCACCTGACATTCGCGTCTCTGAGACGCCGGGCCCTCCTCAGCCTCGCGGAAGGCCGCTCCCCATTCGGTGTTCGGCTGCGGCTTTTCCCCCCCAACCCACCGCGCTTCCCACCAAGTACTCCGCCCAGGGTGTGGACCCACAAGGAAGACGAGTTGGGTCGCCCTGGCTAAGAATGGGACCCCAAAATGAAAAAAACAAACAATCGAAAGGTCGATTCGCTTTGGGCAGGTGAGAGAAGCCAAGCCGTGTGCTTGCCACAAAAAAAAAAAAAACATGGTCCAGACGCAGATATGGTAAGTCCAGCCGGCTGGCGATTGGACACCTCCGTTTTGTTCATCCCCTCGTTTTCGACCCGTCCTTCCCAAGATTCTTCATACCGAATGAACCAAAACCAAAAGGAAGCTACTCCAAAAGGAAGCGACTGTTTGTTGATTGGCCCAAAGGGTGATGTCCAAAACCACCAAAAGGGAACTACGGGAGTCGTGCAACAGGGCAGCAACTTGGTCGCGAGCTTGGCGACTGAAAGAGGACTCCGAGCGACCAATGATGGCGGAGCCCAAATGGTCGGTGTGCTCCATTCCAACTCGGTTGCTTTCTGCTCCCCTGCTAAAATTGAATAAATTTTAGTGGTTTAATACGGAAAACCCATGAGCTAGCAAAAAAAAGGTTAAAGTCCTGACATCCAAGCAACCTGCAACCAAGTATGGGTTAATAATTTTCGGAAATGGTTGTTCCCAATAGGGGCCTAACATCCCTGGCCAAAATGCAAAGCCAAGCCGGTATCACCCTTCCAGGGCGACTCTCCCTCTCAAACTAGGAGGCTTTTCACATCCCCCTTGCCATGAGGGGGAGGGGGGGATGGGGTCCCCAATTCCAGTTATCCAGTCTTCCCCTTACAAAGGAAATGGAACCAAAACTGGAATTCCAGGGGTCACCCCCCTCCCCCAATTCCATATTTTAAAAAAATAAAATCCTTTCATACATGATCCACACATCGATCAACAAACCGCTTAGCTTGCAGCAAGTGCGGCAGCTCAGGAAAGATGCAAACCGAACCTTCCCACCCCTCCCCACTCTTCACTCCACCGCTAGTTTGACAGACCGTGAATCTGCTTTTGTCGCCTTTCGGCTTGTCATAAACACAGGAAATGGTAAGGACATCTTTTGGTCTTGCTGATTCCTAAATCGAGGCAGCCATAAATACACAGCAAGAAAGAAACTATGACTGCCAGCCTTGACGAAATTCGGAAACCCCACTAAACCAACCAAAAAGATCAAAACGAAAACTAAGGAACCAGCCACCAAGGCCCTGCCCAGGCAAGAAACCCCACCCCTTTCGCGCGCGTCTTTGAGCGCGCGCCTGGGGTAGGGCGATGGCCGCGAAGGAGGTGGTGCGCTGCGCCTGCCTCGGAGCGCTATCCCGCGCGAATCTAGGACTCCCCTCGGCGTGGCCAGTCAAAGTAACCCCTGGAGCTTCTCTTTCCAATGAAGGCAGAGGCGCCAGGTGTCGAACAATGCACAGCAAGCAATGTTCCGTGCACGCGCATGGGGCGTGGGAACTTAAGATCTCTGGACCGGCGTAGGCTTGCAAACTTGGCCAGCCTCTCATTCACCTTCTGAATCCTGCCTACCATAAGGGGGAGGGGGGGTGGCCCAATTCGAGTTCTAAATGGAATTCCAGGGGCCACCCCCCCTCCCCCAATTCCATATTTAACTCGCATGGCCGAAAGGCTTGAGCCCCCCGCTTGGCCAAAGAACCCAAGATCCGTTCCCTTCAAAACGGCGGCTTTGGGCGAAGATGACATAGCCCAGGGAATCAAAAGGCTTCACGTCAGGGGAAAACAGGGGATATAACACCAAGAGGGGGAAACATAATAACAACCTTCGCTTCAGCACATGGAAGTAAAAACAAAATCGGGACCCCTACTAGGTCCTCCAGTTGAGAGGTTGGAATAAGTTGGAACCAACTTTTTGCTGTAGTCTATTTTAGTGGGTTGGTTCCTCCCAACCAAAAAAGGTTGGTGAGAGGTCGGGCACCAATTGCTGGGGGGACCTCGCCTAGACACCACAGGTGCCAACATTCGCTCTGCCAGTTGGGAGCCCTGCAAAGGAGTTGCCAGCCTCGGCCCGCGGAACTTTTTGGGTTGCGGGCGACCCACCCACCGACCCGGGTTTTAGGTTGGCCTAATGTTAATAATCCCGGATTAAGCAGAACCCCTGGTGAATATTTGATTGGGGGGAGTGCCCTTTAGTGGGGATTTAGACTTTGGAGGGAACACCCCCCAATCGAACGGGGTTTAAAAAACCTGGGTCAACATTACAAAGAGGCGATCGATTCGGGGCGTTAGGTAAGCGGTGAGGAAGCCTGGTGAGATACCCTGAACGGAGATTTATAACCATGGCTTTTGTGGGTCATAACCAGGCTTGCTATCCACTAAGTCGCCCATCGCCCCTTTAAGCACCTACTCAAAGGCGCATTGACGGGACGGTCCTGTCTTTGTTTTGAGGGGGCAACCGGGTAACTTTGCAAGTGGTTAGTAAGCTTGGTGAAATAACCCGTAAAAGCCATGGTTATAAGTCTCCGTTCAGTGGGTCATAACCGGTACCCTGCTCCTTTAAGCACTACTTGAAGGGCATCCCGTTCTTTTTCTGGAATCAAAGGTTGTATCGCCAGACCGGAACATACCCCGAAAAAGGAGAAGCCGACAAATTCAGGGTGAAGCCCTGTACAGACAGCTGAACTGTCATATTTCTTCTTCGGGGTTTGGTCTCGCGGTGGGGGGGAAGTCTTGATGGAAGCGGAGAACCGGCTTTTGGACACAATCCCAACCCGCTGGGAAACTTCGGGAAGCTTCCTGCTCACTGGCTCCGAGAAACAGCTCTGAGAACCTGATTCGGGGGATCGATCACTTCGGACCCAGGAAATTGCAGAGATGTCAATCGCCAATCGCCCCAAGAATGTCCTCCCGAAAGGCCGGGTCCAATCCCAATTGGAGCATGTCGGTTTCGGTGTCAAGTGCAAATCCCTGGGCCTTGCCAATAGATTCAAGCAGAAAGAACCTTCTGCAACCCTTGGCACGCTAGCATAACACTTGGCACGCTAGCACAGATCTGTGTTTTGTGGCAGCCCCTGCTAAAACTGGACAGAACCAAAAAGTTAACAAAGCTTACAATTTGTCAACAAAAGTGGCCACTGAAATTCATATGGCTCGACCCCTGAGCCCCACGCATTGCACATTCTTACCGGAAGTGAATATCGAAAAAGAAGCCGGCCCCATAACACGAACCAAACTCACAAGACCAACAGTGGCCAAAGCGAACCAAAGGATACATGGTTTGCCCTTCTCATCAATTTAGCTCATTAAACTAGGCTGCCCTCACTTTCCTGCCAAAAGCTTCACTTGTACGGGGGCTTAGTGGAAACTACCGCTAAACTTACCAAAAGCCCAAAAGCCCCAAGAAAACGGCTGGGAATCACCGAAAGGGAAACCATTGGCCGATTCGCTTCAGCTCTGACCAGCCCGGCCTTGGCTGGGCCTGTTGGCTCCAGCACTGCACCCGCTCCGGCGAGAGGGTCCGAACGTGCCCGAGGCTCCTCCCGGAGGAAGGATTTACATCCCCTACTGCACCATACCTTCCATTTGCTTGGTCGCCCCCTGGAAAAAATGTGAAAATATGTCCACTAGGGATAGGTTCCCTTTAAAACCAACAGGGCAAAATGAAACATATCCTTAAGCAAATGGAAGATAAGAGGGGGGGGGGCGTCAATAAGAGGGATAAAATGCCACCAGAAATGGAATTCCAGAGGTCACTCATCAACAATGCACGCAAGAGACAGGCTGGTAGTCATTCGGTGTATACGCAGTGGTGGAATTGCAACGCGCTTGTTGAGACCTTCCGCTTTGCCCTTCCATACTGCAAGCTATTGTGGGAAACAAAAAGGATCTGTTGAAGAGTGACACCCACAGAACAGTCGGGCCCCCCGTCTAGCTGGCGCTGGGGTCCCTTTCGCTTCGCCTCGCGCCCTCTTGGACAATATCCCACGGCGTGCAATATATCTCGCAAGAGCATCCTCACTGTTGCTTCCACAAAGATACGCACTTTGGCCAGCGTCGATTTTCACGAGGCGCTCCAAGAATGGGTGGCTTGGTCAGCGTGTCCCCTTGTGCTCGCAATGACGCATCAGGCGCCTCGGTTTTTTACGAGGCTCCCAGCGCGGCCGTCCTCTCGGCGACTTGGCCCTGCCACAGGTCACCTGCACCAAGGGCCCCCACAGGCGATTCAGTCGCCAAACATATGGCAGTGGGTCAAAACCCATGGGATCCCATTTTGGGGTAGGCGCACCACCCATTTTAGAACCTATTTTAGTGGGGATTGGGATGTGCACTGGGGGGGCACGGGATTTTGACCCATGGCCATATTCCCCCTCGGCCATGAAAAACGGAACGCCTTGTTTGGACGCCAGGGCCGTATCATTTCAACTGGCCATCATTTCAGGCCATGCTGCCATGCTGAACCAGAATGTGAAACTGAAGGGAGCCGGCACAATTCCTGCCCGGCTCTGTTTCTGGCCAGGAAGGCTTGCGCACCAAAGGGCCCATCCCCGCCCCAAAAGGCGCGGCGAAGCATCGAAAGGCTGCACCAAGCTGAACAGCGCCGGCCCAAGCAGGGATAGTCTTCCTCCCTTCCTCAGCCCAAAAGTCGAGGAAGCGGCTTGGAGGTGGCTTTTGTGGATCCACCCCAGTAGGATTTCAAAAAGGAGTACAAAAAGAGTACGGAAAAAAAAAGAACCAACAGGGGAAAGAACGGGAGATATCCGCAAGAAGCTCATCCATACCGTTTTCTAGCTTTCAGGGGATCCATTGGTTCATTCCCCCAAAACCCGGAAGATTTTCCGGAAAAAAGAAATCCACCAGGGGGAGTTCAACAGGTGAAGCCCTCCATGCCACCACTCCATCTTCGCCGCCTCTGAAGGGAACAGGAAGCACCCGCTGCCTGAGCTCCCAAACGGGGCCCAAACCGGGAACGATGGCGCGTGGTTGTGCTACCTCTCGGCGTGACTGTTCAAACATTTGGGCCTGATGAAAGCACTACCATAAGAAGAAAACAAAGTGAAGAAAAACAAAGTGAAAGAAAAACAAAGTGCTTTGTTTGGAATCAGGTGCAAGTATACTGGCCCTATGTATTTCGCATCCTCTTGTGCGCAAAGGCATCTACTTGCCAGGTTGCTAGATATGTGAGGTTGTGAGGCAAGGCACCCATCGCACCCACTTCTCTGACAAGAGGGGAGGTTGGCCTCATGGAGCTCCATGGTTTAAACCCCCTGTAAGAAACGAAGGCCTCCCGTGCCCCCCCCCCCAAAAAAAAAAGAAGAACCGAGGCCGCCGTTCAAAAGAGGGACCCCCCACCTGATCTAAACGAATGGGGCGTTCAGAGCCCCAGGCATGAACTTGGATACCCGCTGCTCCCTGACAGATCCGAGCTAGTTGATACACCTGGCTCCTTGCATAGTAGACATCATGCAAAATTCAACCTGAACAGGTAATTATCTCGCCGAGGGGCTGTCTCGGCTGCTGACCCCCTCCCGCAAAAAGTGTTTTCCACTTTTCGTGGCTACGATTTCGTTGAACATCCGACCTGTTTCAACCCAAAAGTCCTTTTAGTCCCAAGAATCCGTTGCCAAATAGCCAGAAAGAAAATGCCAGGACTCCAATTCTACAAGCAAATTTGGATCCCCCCAGGTCCGAGTCCAGCTCCCTCCCAACCCAACCACCAGCCAGCAGATGGTAAACATGGCTGCCAGAGCTGCCCTCAGATCCCCGCTAAAGGTGACTAACTTTTAGTGGGTTAAAATGAAAAGCTACCACTAAACACTAAAAGGCTAAAAAGCCAAGGAACCGGATGGCTGGGAGCCACCAAGAAAGATCAAACGGGCATATGCACAACGCACCGACTACTTCGGGGCAGGTCAGCGATTCAACGGTTGAGCCATTTGTGTCAGAAGGCGAACCTCCTGCATGTGACATTGCAACCCAAGTGGGCCAACAACAAAAAAATCCTGCACGTGAAAAAAAGCCGCCAAGGAAAGCCAATGCCATTTTGTTGGTCTGAAAACAAACACATCCGCATTATGGCTTTGGCAGTTCCATGCGCGCGGGACATCCAGACTCCAGGCGATCTCCTCCGTCCTTTCAGAACTGGGCACCTGTCCTAGGCTACCCTTCCTTTAGCGCCAAATGGGAAGTCAAAGGGAAACAAAAACAGCCGTCCGTTTGCATCTGTGTATGTTTTAAGATGTTTAAAAAAAAAAAAAGAAAAGAAAAAAAAAAAAAAAGAGAAAAAAAGAGAGTGAAATGTGAGCGCCGCTCAGGTCGCGGATTCTTTGGTCGCTTTACGTAAGTCCCCTAAAGAAAAACAAGGGACAAAATCCAGCGATAGATCCCTTTTTATTGCCAACAGGGGTAAATGACACACAGTCATTTCAGCAAATGGAGGCAACCGAGTTTCACCTCTGCCTTTGGCCCACGAGCCCGGGCTGAGCAACACGCGGCGCCGCAACCCGAGCTGCAGGATGGCCTTGGTGGCTAATCAAACTCAACGCTCCGTTGCTTCTTAGAGACCCAGAAGCCAAAGGCCACATAACTAGCCTTTTCTAGGGTATCCTTTTTTCTGTAGTCTATTTTAGTAGGGAACCCTCCCAACCAAAAAAGTTGACAGAGAAAGGGCACCAATTGCTGGGGGACCTAGTTTTGTGGGCGAACCTTTTGGGGGGTAAGGACTAAAACGGGCGAAGCAGGCGTTCGATTTCCTCGTCCCCGGACTTGGAACCCAGAAGTGGACTCCAACGATCCCCCTACTATACTTGGTTCCTAACAAGACCCCCCTGCAAACTCCATTTGTCTAAATCCCCTTGAAAAAATCCAGTGATAGACTCCCTTTAAAGCCATCAGGCGGGACAAAAACAGATTCTTGAGCGTGACAGATCCCCCTTTGACAGGGAGACTGCGAAAGCAGACCGATACATACCACGATTTCAGGAGCAAGGGAGCTGCCAGCACCAACCTTGGCTGGAATTAGGACCCCAGCCAAAAAAACAATGCGTGATTAGTGGAAAACAAAGGAAACACCAAAAAAGCAAAAAAGCAAAAAGGGGAGCTGATTCTGGGGAAGCAACATTCTCACTTCCTAAGTGAATGGGCCAACAAACCCAACCACACTTTTTGAACGCCACTATGGTCCAAATCCAAGGGACGATCAAGCCCCTTTAACGGGAAACTCAAGTGAGAAACTGGGAGAACCCGGCCATGTCCGCTTCATGCGATCTGGCGCCCTCTGGCGCAATTCGTTCTCAACCCCTCTCAGGCCACCGCCCGGCCCCGGCCAGGGCGCCTTGGCGACTGGATTGCTGACTTGAGTGAAAGAACGCACGGTGGTTGCGAAATCCGCTTCTCGCACCACCTAAAAAAAACCTGGAGGGTGATGAATCCCCTGTAAATACCAACAAACCATATGGTTTGCCATGGTTTCAAAGTGGTTTGCTATGGTTGGCTATGGTAAATACCAGCAAACTCATGAGCCAAAAAGGGCGATACTGTGGATGGTTACGACATCCGCCTCTCGCACTACGAAAGGAAACCACGAGCAAAACCCACCTTCTGTTACGGGATTTACGTTGGGGAATCCTCAGCAACCACGGATTGTTAGGTGGTGCCAATTGGATTTCGTCCATGAGTTGCTTCCCGTGTAAATACCAACAAACAATGGTTTGCTATGGCTTCAATTTGGTGCAGGATTTCGTCCACCCACAATATCACCCGTTTTGGCTCATGAGTTTGCCTGGGTCGGGGTGACAATTTGAGGAAACTATAGGAACATATGTACGGAAGCCGACCCACACTGCAGACGGAGAACTAAACAAGGGCCGGCTGAGGTGAGACCATGGCGCCTTTTCACAGTGGACACAATAATTCAAGAAAACGTTTGCTGGGTGAGAGGCGGCCCAAGCTTCGCACCCGGGGGGGAAGGGGGGGAGGGGGGACGGCTCACATTCCCTGCTGAGCACCAGCAAGAGTAACCTCCCCAAAACTGCCCAAACGGATTGCCGAGAGCATTGGCCCTCGTGCGCCAGCGGCACTCACAAAAGGCAACCCCGAGCTTTCGCGAACTCAGAAATGGGCGACGGAGGATGCCCGTAAGGAAAAAACAATTTCCCACTCGTTGGATGGGCCAAGAAACAAGTCCCCAAACTGCTGCAATGTCACTAACCTGGTGCCCGGACCCAAACAAGTTGTGAAAGTCCAGCAAATGAGGACGTGAGACTTCTTTTCGGACTTCCCCTATTCACTGGCTTTCGCCTGCCCTGGGGCTCGTGCCACCCGCTCGCACCTGGTGCTTTGTGTCGATGTGGCTAGGGCTTCGATCTTCAGCTAGAAATCGGATCACTCAAACTGTTGGTAGGGAAACCCCCTGCTAAAAGAGAAGTTGGTACCAACTTATTCTAACCTCTGAAGTAGAGAGGGCCTAGGAGAGTAAGCCTGGTGAGATCACGTGAAATGAGACAAATTAACCATGTCATTTGTGGGTATTTAGTGGTTAGTAAGCCCGGTGCGAATATCACCCACTGAGCCAGCCACAAAGAACCGGATCGCCCCTTGTAGCGTTGAGCTGGTGCCCGGTCTGACCCAAGGCTGGTGCCCCAAAGGGCAAATGGCTGCGTGGTCTCAGTGGAAGGGCTGGTTTGGCTTGGTGTTGTTGGCGTTGATTTCTCGAAAATACACCGCTGGGTGCAGATTTCTGTAGATTTATGGCCGCTGCTTCCTCAGTCAGACCTTGATGGCAATGGAGAATGGCGAGAGCTCAGAGAGAATCTGAGAAGCGCTCTTTGGATAGCAAATCGCGGAGATGAAGTGTTTTCTTCTCTCTCTTTTTTTTGGGGGGGGGGCGGGGGGGCAGTAGAAAGCGAGGCCTGCTTCAATCAGGGGTTCAGTTGCAGAAAGCAGGGACGCCTCTTGTATCTGTCTCCCCTCGAGCTGTTTGATGCCATAGAAACCAGCCAGCTGTAGCCCGGCCCGGAGGCGCCATTGCTGCCAGTGTCCTTCCATTTGCTTAATATTTCCCCAGATAGCTGAAAGCTATAAGGCTTCTAACCTCTAATGTTTTATTTTCCCCCGTTGGTTTCAAAGGGAACCTATCACTACTGGACATATAACTTGTTTCCCACAGTGGACGAAACCAACAATTCAAGCTTCGGAGATGTTTTTTCTTGTTTTTGGCGTGGCCTCTACGAGGAAGGACCGCGCCGGGGTTTTCGAGCAACAAATGGCCCCAAAAAAGGGGCGAGAGATCGGGCACGACTGGCTGGACCTAGTCTCGCCCAAGCTCCCGCCTGGCCACCTCCTGGCCCTCGAACCGAGGAAACCTCGGCTCTTGGGGCGCTTCTTGGCCCAAGGGGCCCAGCAAATATCGAGGTGGTCACTTTTTTGGGGGCCAGGGCGGCAGTTTTTTTTAGTTTTTTTTAAGCGTGCTAAGATGAGAAGACCAAAAGATACCAAAAGGTAGGGTCGATTCGTGTTGGGCAAAGGAGGCCTTCCTTTGCCGAGATCAGAACCAAAAAATCCACAAGGAGCTCAAGCCAAGGGTTCACTCAATGTCGAATCGACCCAAGGGAAGTTCTCACTTGCCCAGTTCGGACCTAATGCCAGGTTCAGCTTTCGGGACCTCTAAAATGGACCAAGGAAAGCCGAAAGGTCAAACCTTCGGCTTTGAACAACCGAGAGTAAGACTGCTGATCACAACTTGCTGGCGCGTGCAAAGCCTTTTTTGGCCGGCCAAAAAAGGAAGCCTCGCTAGAAAATGGTCTGCGAAATGGACGTCACATGGCGCTTCACGTGCTTTCGCAAGGTGAAACCACTCGTAGGTCGTCGGAATTTCCGCCTGCACCCGAACGCAGTCGAGGAACGAAAAAAAAACCGTGGGTTCCACGCAGCCCTTGTTTGACCAAGAGAAATTCCCCACAATTCCCCTAACGAGGTTCACCTGGTTTCTGAGCCAAGCTGATGACGCTTGCTCTACCCGCAGTCCAGCAGTGTCCAGCCACGTTCCGTGGCTCAAAAGACCCGCGAGGTACGAAAAATGCCGCGGCCTGTGCCGAGGAATGGACTCCGCGGTGACTCTCTGCCAAAGTCTACGCCCTTCCAACGAAACGGACAGGAGGCCTTTTCAAGAGGGCCCCATTCCCACTCCCAACATCTTCGATACAAGTCACCCTCTTCGAGCCCATCTTGGCGCTATCGCTCGCACAACGTCGCAACGGCGCAACGGGCGTGAATGCGCCGAGCGCGGCCTAGCGCACGCCTCACCGCGCCGTCCTGTTAAAAAGGTCCCGGGACATGTGGTTGTCCTGGACAAAAAAAGAGCTCATCCCAGCCCTCCAGGCTTCCCCTCGTCGTCCCTTCGCTTTTTCACCCCCCCCAGATACCTTTTGAAACCAGAATTGGAAAATGAACGAATATCATCAAGCAAATGGAAGCCATTGGTGGCTTCGATTGGTGGCCTGCACAATTGAATCCAACCCCGCCACGCCATTCTGCTTCACGACGCTGTGTTCAGTGGGCTTTCAGAGGTTCCCGGATTTCAACACCAGAACGTCTGAACCCAGGCGTACATGGGGTCTGCGTGTTGGCGTTCTTGTGTTGCTAAAGCTCGAGTCTTGCGACAACAACGAGAGTCTGCCAAACAAAAACGGGAACAACCACACCCATTATCTTCAGGATCCAGGGACGTGCGGTCTGTTGTGTGGTCTGTTTGACTTTTGGGAAAAAAGAACAAGGCTTTGCAAGCAAAGGCAAACACCTCGAGTTGTCCAAAGAAAACATCTGAGGGTCTGTATATGCGGACTCTTGCTGGAAATCCCGAGATGTTCCACAACTTTCCAAAATGCAAAAGTCTGTCATCCAGCAAAACCAGCCACAAGCACAAAGCTAGACCCCACTGAGGGTACACCCAGGATCACACACACACACACACCGTTTTCCAAGGTACCCACGCACATTCCAGGACGTTCGGACTCACTCTGAAGCGTAGCAGCTGGGACACACGAAAAAAAAACGAATCAAACGTGTTAGGAAGCGATAGAGCGTCTAGATGAACACCAGCCATGGATAGACACATGCAAGTAGTAGGCGCAAGGCACACACGCACACCTATTATGTGATGGAATTGCCATAAGTCATGGGCATTCAAAACATACATTGGCAACGCGCCAAACATGCTAGGACCATGCAACGTCAGCAGATGCCAGACGCATGCGAGCTAAAAACAAGAGCTTAGCCAAACTGCTTCAGTGCGAACCCTGAGGTGGAATTCATCATGAACAGTCGCTGGAACGGGACATGCACAAGGGGCTGAAAAAGGCTGGCGGGTTGTGCCCGATTCCAAAGAACGACACGGCTGGGTTCGAAAATTTGGCAAGGCCAAAAAGAATCGACCTATGCAACACATGGCTGTGGCTCAAACACGGGGGACCTGCGACCCCAGTTTGTAGAAACAGCTTCACGAATCAGGTCGCAAGCCCCCCACCCAAGCATGACAGCCCCCGCGGAGCTATGTAAATTGGCAAAAACGCTGTGAGAGACATACCCCCCTTAAAAGGCCGGCTTTGGGTAAGTGAATAGTGGGAAGGAGGGTAGTTGATCAATCTGCCCGTTCATCGAACATGAAAAGCACGAAAACTTTGGGTTTCCTTTTAGAAAGGTAGGTCAGTCGCGACCCTTACCAGCAAAATGGAGAACATCCAAAACCAACCGCTTGGCCCAAATCTGGGTAGGTTCAGATTCTGACAAACTTAGTCAACCCGGCACCAATCGCTGGGCCCAGTCGGCAATCCGCTGTCCTTCACCCATCTCCCCAGTTGCTCGATGATTGGCAGCGGTTCTGCCTTGGCTCGAGACGGAGAATAAACCTGAACTTCCTTTTGCTTAAGCCCCCTGGAAAAAATAAAGATATGTCCAATAGCGATAGATTCCCTTTAAAACCAACAAGAGAAAAAAACGAAGAAAAAAATCAGCAAATGGAAGAAATTGGGTTGCTCGAGGTTCCCCTTGAGCAAAAGGTGCAGAAACACCTTGTGTAGGTGTTACGGAAACGCCATTTGTTTCCAGAAGGTCCGAGGGGCTAAGACACTCACAAAAGACCACATCGGTCTGCCTTGGTGCCCCGCTAGTGACTAGGCCGTCTTTTATGCTGAAGGGCGGTGAACACACACACACACCCTTTCTCCGATACAGGCCTTCCCCACGTTGAACATTGTGGATCTTTATGATCTTCCCCCCCCAAAAAAAAAAAAAAAACACGTTAAGTCCAGAAACTGGTTAGAAGCAAGCATCCAAGCAAATGTCAATGTAACTCGTCGATGTGCTTGTTTTCCTGCGGGAAAACGCAAACTACCATTCCCTAGGATGCATTTGGCTTTGTCGTTTTTGTTGATTGCCTCGTGTTGGTGTTTTGAAAGGGCAACCAAAAAAAAGGGCTCCCCAATTTTGAGACAAATTGGGTATGCTTGGGGCATCTTTTCCCGACCTCAAATGCGAGTACCAGTACCAACTCCGAAAAGGCGTTTCTGTTGAGACAGCCCAAAAGCTTCTTGCTCGGTTTTCAATGGGCTCACCCAAAAGCGGCCACCTCTTGTGGGGGAACCCCTCGCATGACCTTTTGGACAAATACTTTCCATTTGGTTAAGCCTGCAAAAACAATAAAAACAAATCCAGTAGTGAAATTGATTCCCTTCAACACCAACAAGAGAAAATAACAAATCTTCTTAACCCAATGGTAGAATAGATGGTTGCTTTTGACCCCTCCAGCAAAAGGTTGAATCAACTTTTGGGGTTAATTACTGGAAAACCCAACTTGATTCCCAAAAAGCTGTCCAGTCTAAAGATCCGTTACCCAATCGCCGTCAAGAATCGATGGGGCTGTGTGGGGGGGCCATGGGGGGCCTCTGGGGCCAGCGGTGACTTCCGAGGCGCCGAGGCGTCCGGCGCCAAACTGCGGAGCCAGCTGTGCTGCAGGGCCTGCGCCGCGGAGAGGCGCCGCGCCGCGTCCTTCCTCGGGAAAGCGAGGAGCTGGAAGCTTGGCTGGAAAAATCGGACCCCAGCAATTTGTGTTTCATCTTTTTTGCCTGGTTAGTGGAAAACAAAGGAAACCCCCCCCCCAAAAAAAAAAAAACGAAAAGGGGGAGCTAATCTGGTGAAGGGGAAAGCGAGGAGCTGGAAGGCAGGCTTGCCCATGCGAAACCGCCGGAGCTGGGGAGCTGGGGGGGTTTGGGGGTTGGGGGCTTTGGGGGGATGGCTAGATGGATTGATAGCTGGATGGATAGACAGACACACAGACAGACAGACAGATAGATAGATAGATTAGGTTGAGAGGGGGTCAGCAAAGTTTGGGACTCGGGGGGCTTCTGTGCTTCCGTTTCCTGCAGTTTGCTCACTCCCCTGTTTTGCGATTGAGCAAAGCTCCTGAACCCCAGCGGCCGAAGAGAATATCAAATCCCTGTCTTCCGTTACTTGCTTTTGCCCCCTAAAAAACATGAGAACTATGTCTAGTGATTTTTTCCTTTAAACCCAGCAGGATGGAGTCTTAAAAACATATGGCCATGGGTCCAAAGCCCGTATCCCCAGTGAACATCCCAATCCCCACTCAAATATCCCGACTAAAGTGGATGGTACACCTACCAACCAACATGGGATCCCAAAACGGTTTTGACCCACGGCCACATGTTCAGCACATGGACGCTTTCTTCGGAAGCTTCGGAGCTTTCCTTCAAGCGCCGTGAAAGGCTCTTTAGCGTTCTCCGCGTTTGGAATCGGTTTCGCGATGAGATGGGTTGGAAGCTAGGGACCCATAAACCAAAAGATAAAACGGAGGTCGAAAAACCGGCCTGTGCTTTTTTTTTTGCCCTCGCCATGCGAAAACCCGATATCCGCCATGGGCAATCCAAAGCGCCATACAGCGCGCGTGGGCGCGGAGGCTTGTGGTTGCGTAAACAAACTCCCCTTGGTTTCGAATTCGAATTCGCGCGCGCCAGAAGACAAGTAGACAAATGATGATCTCCGCTTGATTGGGAGACACATGGGGGGAGGCTGGAAAGTTGTTTGGGCCGCTTTCACGGAGCTGTCCTTTCACGAAATTCGCGCCGCGCTTTCGAGGTTTGGCCAGTGTTCTAGTGTTCTGCCAACTGCGTGCGTTGGCAAGGGTCTTGTGTACAAACCACAGCTTTTCAAGTGGGCGTGCCAATGTTCAGAAGTTTGTCACCTGCCGTTGCTCCATGCCATTCCACCTGCCTCACCACCTACTTGCAGTCACGCATGCAAACGAACACACAAACGATTGTGGCCCTTTCGCGCACCTCTCGTGTGCACATAC